TGTCATCACAGGGCACTACATGTGAATTCTCGGAGTCCAGTTCGAGTTAACCACATCTCCTGGCTGTGTCTGGCTTGATGTGTATTTGAAATACTCTTGAGAAAAGACCCAAAGTCCAGGGATTCCAGATTCCGGTCCCTCCTCTGTCATCCACTGGGTGATGTGATCTTGGATTTGTCTCTCACGTCTCCAACTCCTTACCCTGAGCCTTAACAGAGATAAAGCAGAGGTGCTTAGAATAGCTCCCAAGCACACTAGAAATGCAAAGGAATTTTATTATCAACAACCTATGACTGTTAACTCTAAGCTCAGGTTTGTACCTGCTTTGCTGACACACCAGGACCTCTGCATTAGATCTCATTGTTTTAGTTTGTTCAGAAATTCATTTCTTCTGTTTGCCACCTTCCTGACAAGGTGGCAAAAAAGGAATGATTGCCTTTTTATTTTTTGCTCCTGATGCCAAGGTTGCTGTTGACAGTAGGCACTCAGGCAAGGCAGGGGCTCATTACCTTTCACAATCAGATGCCATGCACACCTCTTCCGTCAGAACAATTAGTGTTCATTTTGGCTTTACTCGGGGAGACCTGCAGTGACTGATCAGTATAAATTATAGATGCATCTGTCCAGATGCACTTGTCCATTCATGCATAGATTTGAGGAAATTTCATTCTTCTCCGTTCAAAAACAGTCACTAAAAAAAATCCATACTTAAAAAAATATAATTTGGCACATTTTCATCTATGTTACTGTGCCCATAGACTTACACATTCCATCTGTGATTTGAGGCATTGGAACTGGATTTGGGGCGTTTCTGGGTTGTTATTCACCCCCACCCCCTGTAAAATCTGCTGTCTTTATAAAACATCAGGAAACGAGGGATATTTAACCCAAAATTATACAATAGGATTCGTGTGTGTGTGTGTGTGTGTGTGTGTGTGTATGTGTGTGTGTTGGATTCAAGTTTATTGTCAGAGACACATCCCTTTTTTTTTTGAAGTTTTTATTTTAATTCCAATTAGTTAACATACAGTGTGATATTAGTTTCAGGTGTACAATATAGAAATTCAACACTTCCATACGTCACCCAGTGCTCATCACAGAAAGTGCCCTCCTTCATCCCCATCACCTATTTCCCTCATCCCTCACCCACCCCCCTCTGGTAACCACCTGTTTTTTCTCTATAATTAAGAGTCTGTTTCTTGCTCAAAGACACATCCTTTACTCTGCCTGCTCAAGATCTTCAGTGAATTTAAAGCGGAGCAACATGAACTTCAAATAAACAGTGTGGATGAGTACTCTCCATGCTCCAAATAAGCCTTTGACTATTTATTTTATTCATATTTGTTTTAATGAGCAGCTAGAGGAAATATCAGGCCATGCTGCATAATACAACAAAAGGATCTGTACCATTTGTGTAAAATACTTGGGGTGGAATGACTCCCTCATATATAACTGGGAGGGTCTGCACTTCATAAGTCTGTCTCCTTGCTTCAGTACAATTCTAGACGGACACACACACACACAACTGCGCATTTTTCCCAAAACTAAATTAATCAGCACTAAACAAAGCAAAGAAAAGCCAGAGCCCTCAGGTGCCAAAGTGAGGGTCTGTCCACAGTCAGGAGGATGAGAACAGATTCGGTGACCACTTCCTTGAACCAGACTTTCCAAGAAAGACTTGTTTTTACCTGAGGTCTCTGTCAGACAAAGGTCCATATTGGTTTAACCCACTAGCTCTGTTTTGTGATGAGGCTCTGAAAATAATGGGAAGAGAACACACTTCATACGAACTGTTTTTGGGGAACCCCCTTCACGCTCCAGGGGGGTCACAATCAAACCCCAGGGGCACCAGGTCAGTTTGCTGTGGGTCTAGCCGTCTCCCTGAGAAAGAAAGAACTCAAGGTCTCCCGTGCCTGCAAGTGGCAGCCTTCCTCCCCGAGATACTCTGATATGGTAAAGTGACTTTGAAGACAATAGAAAGCTGCCTTCACATAAAACCTGCTCCTTGGTTCGTTTTCCTTTTCTACATAAGAAGAAAAACACCCAGGAGCCATCAGAGTCCTACCTTCCCAATTTACTTCTCCACTGCTTTTCCTCTCTCTCCCTCTTGTTTTATTTTCCTCTTGAAAAATCTGGTTGCTTTTTCTCTAATCCTAGAGAGCAAAGACAAGAGGTAGGCCTGGAGGCCCTGCACACAGCATTGATACCGCAGAGGTCTTATAAATCAGCGAAAAATCAATACATTCTATATGGTAGCTTCTCCTTTGCAACCAGATCGCCAGGGGACATAACTAATGGTTTTTCTTCGCCACCATCCCATTTTTCTGTCATAAAAAAAAAAAAAAAAAAAATCTGCTTAGGAACGAATGGGTGATCAAAGTTGCTGAGTAAGTATTTCAACTATCTAATTTTATTACTTTACAATTGACATACCTTCCCTCTGGAAATGTTTGCAATTAATTAATTAGCAGTAATCTTCCCCAAGGGACTAATTGAATGAATTCTCTCCAATTCTTACTTTAAAAAAAAAAAAAAAAAAGCTTAGATGTATCCACGCTGCAAATGTGTGGATGGCTCCAAAGTGCATTTTTGAAAAAAATCAAGGGATCTATCTATTACAGGGCCTTTTTATCACTAAATCAATCCGGCGATAACGATAATTCTTTTTCTAACTGGGAGTTTCCCCTGGTTGAACGCAAGGTTTCTCCAAGGTAACGACACTCAGCAGCGGCCTCCAGGAAACCTGCCTGGGTTCGTTAGTATTTAGAATGAAGCTTGTCCTCATATCAATAGTCTCAGGCGGAGGAGTGTGCGGTTTGCAGGGTCTGTAGAGCCTGGCCCGTCTGCACCATCTGTACTGGGGTAGGGCGGGGGGAGCCAATGTTGTTCCAAAGAGGTAGCTGGCTTGTGGGGCCTACCGGTTCCCTCTGCAAGGTTCCAGAGGAAAACTCGCGGCCAGGGATCCTGGGCCAGGGCCCTAGACTTTGCCTGGTCACTGGGCTTCCTCTTCGCCTCGCAAAAACGCATGACAGAGACTCAGGTTGTTCCTGACCTCTGGGCCACACGCTCTTGCGTTTCAACTAGAAAATACAACTGGGCCCTTGAACCAGTCCCCCGGGATTCCTGCGGGAAGGTGCAGCGAGGACCTGGGAGTGCGTTTTGTACATTGTAAAGTGCCCTGAACCTATGAGTGAAAGGCGGGACTTTCTGAGGTTTCTGGCCTGCCAGCCCCAAAGCCTGAGTTCCGTTCGGATATCGGCAGCATCCCCCGAAGACCTCCCCCCACTAGATTAGTTGCCCCTTTTCGCCCCCACCCCCACCCCAACGTAGGCTCCCGGCCTGGGGATTGAGCCTTCGGTTGCGCAGAATCTACCGCGCTCACAAACCAGCGGCCGCGGGTCCGGAGCCAGGCCTAGAGGACGCAGCCCCCTCCAGGCACAGACGAGCTCCTCCGCCCCTCAGCGGACCCTTTGAGGACCCCTGGGTTGGAGGGGGGTTGGTCAGATCGCTGGGCCCAACCCCGAGCCGTCGCGGCGGAGCGCGGGGCGCGGGAGGCCGTCCCCGCGCGCTGAACCGCGGCTCGCCAGCGCCACCCCCAGCGGAGCGCAGCGGCTGCAGCTCGGCCCAGGCGCCTTCCCGTGGCTCCCCGGCTCCCCCGTGGACGCAGCGGTCGGTGCGCAGGAAGCAGCCAAGCCTCGCCTTCAGAGGAGATGTCTAGGGGTGTTCGCCCCCCGCCTGCAGATACCAAGGGTCAGACTGAGCGCGTTTCCAGGCGGACTCCGAGGGGAACTGAACCATGGCCTCGAGGGGGCGCTATTCGGCCTGTTGGAGGGCCAGATGGCTGCAGAGAAGCCCCAGGGTCGAGACCCTGGCAAAGACCAGGGCTGGAAGAGCCTGGATCTAGCTAGAGTCCTGGGGGGGCTGGAGTGGAGAACCAGATTCCGGAGGACAAAGACGCGCGGGCCAGTGGGACCCACCGAGGCTGCCCAGGCTCTGCCCCAACGAGTGCGGGGCCTGTGGCGAGAACAAACTTTCCCGCAGCGGAGGGGCGGGGGAGCCGGGCTGGAGGCTTCTCCCCGGAGCCGCCGCTCTCCTCCACCTGCCAGTGCTCAACCTCCGCCCAGCCTTCGCCCACCCCTGTTCCCTCCCCTCCCCCGCGCGCCTCTGTTCACTTAGACTCATCTCTCTCCTCTCCCCTCCTCCTTCTCCCTCTTGCCTTTCTCCCCCACTTTTCTCCTCTTTTTTTCTCTTATCTCTCCTTTTTGTATTCTCTCCCCCCTCGCGGCCCGGCTCGCTTCTCTCCTCCTCCGGGCCGCAGGGGAGGAGGTAAACGAGCTGCGCCCGGGACCTGCGCCGCACAGAGGGAGGCGTTTCTCCTACTTCTCCCGGGTAATTTGGAGGGATCGTATGTGTGCGCGCGCGCGCGTGAGCTTAAGGCGAAAAGGGGTAGGATCCAGCGCCCATCTGAGAGGGTCGGGGTCTTTGACGTTCCTCACCAGCAGCACAAACCTCCCAGAACAAGTGTGAGTGTGGGTGAGAGTGCGCGCGCGCGCACGGGCTGGCTGCGCTTGGCACGCTTGGTGGCCCGGGGCCCCAGGGCCCAGGGGCCCGCCTGGCGGCCCGGGATTACCGTGACGTCACATTGAGCCTCTGGCCACCTTGGACTGGGACACCTCGGGAGCCGCACAGCACCGCGCCGCGCCTCACCTTGCCTCGCCACAGCGCGACTTTGGGAACCCGCATCCTCTCCTTTTCCTTGCCCATCCATGGGCCCTTCTGTCTTCCGGACCACGCGGGCCGGAGGGGCGCCTTCTGGAGCGCAGGGTTCGGCAGCCGGACTGCCCTCGGCTCTGCCTCCAGTCGTGCCAAGCGGGCGGAGGACCCGGCCCTGGGCACTCGCAGCCGCGTAAGGAACCGAGGCGGCGCACGGCTGGAGGCGCAGAATCGCGGGGCTAAGGCGGGAACTCGCAAGAGAAGGAGGCGGTCCAGGGACAACCACCATGTCCTTCCCGCCCTTTGGACACCCGTACGGCGGCGCTTCCCAGGTAAGAAGTTGCCTCCATGGGGGATGGGGACAGACTCGGGGAGGGGGGGCGGGTGCCCAGTGCACGTGCCCGCCGCTGGGCGCCCTCCTTTCTCACGAGTCTCGGGGGAAACCAGACTGAGCAGGTACGATGTACAACAGACCCTCTCGGACACCCTCAGTCTCTGTCCGAGAACGTTTCACTCCCCCAGTGCAAGCTGGAAAATCGTGTGACCCGAAACTTGGGCACCATCCATGAGCTCGGCGAGGTGGGTGGGATCTCCAGATCTTCCAGACAGGCCGCCTTATTGTACAGATATCCGAGGTGACCCCGAAGAGACCTCCTCACCAGTTTTCAGTCGTTTGCTTGTTGACTTCTGTTCTTATCCTCTCTCCCTTCTTTGAGTGGGTCCGAGCTCTCTGCTTCCGGTTCCTTCGATTTTTCCAGATTAGGGTGGGTGTTGTGCAGTGACAAGGGTTTCCTGGGGAAATTCTGGGGACACCCACCGCTGTTCTCCAGCTTCTGCCCAGATTGTGGGATCTGGTTGCAACTTGACCTCTGACCTGCCTTGTGATCTTGGAACAAATCTCCCTGGTCCTCATTCCCTATCTATAAAATGGGAGCAGGAGTAAGACGTGATGGTGGTCTCTAAGGCTAACTTCTAGCTCTGCCTTTGTAGGATCCCTATGATGGGGGGCGGGAGGAGGGATCGGCTAGGGAACGAGCGGAGTTGGGCTCCTGTAATTCGCCTTTCAGAACGTTCCCATCGCCTGGACCCCTGGGACTCTGGAGCCTTAGCAACGTTTTAGGAGTATCTATAAGGGCGGTTTGAATAAATTGCATCTTCAGATAATTCCCATCCCAGCAGAATGCTCCGCACACGGTGGCATGTAGTTAATGTGGAATGAGGGAGTGATCCGGCAGTGCACCTCTCTCTCGCCCATAGTTTCTGGTGTCTGCAAGTTCCAGCGCCACTTGCTGCGAATCCGGCCCGCGCTCCGTCCCAGATGTGGCCTCAGGCTCCACCCCGGCGGCCGCTCTCTGCTGCGCATCCTACGACGGTCGGCTGCTGGGCAGTGCGCGGCCGGAGCTGAGCGCGGCCTTGGGCATCTACGGAGCCCCATACGCCGCCGCCGCAGCTGCCCCGAGCTACCCAGGCTACCTGCCCTACAGCCCAGAGCCGCCCGCGCTGTACGGGGCGCTGGTGAGTACACCGCACGGAGCCCGGGTCTGTGCGCCAGGACCCATCTGGCCTGGGGGGCATGAACTGCAGCAAAGGGGGAAACTCAGCGTGACACCTCCAGGGAAAATCTTGGAAGGAGGCAAAACTCCGAGGGAAGGAATTGGGTAGGATTGTGTATAGCCGGGGGTGGTGGGAGGGGAAAAACACATCTTTGCAGCATTTTACACTTTGCAGAACGCCATTCTGATTAAAAAACATCTGTGCTTCTATTAATCTGTGAGGTAGGCAAGTCTCAGTTTCGGGATGAAGATGTTGAGATGTAGAAGGGTTCAAATACCTTGCCCAAAGTCACAAAGATACAAAGGGCCAGGAAATAGCTCTGGAAGGAGAGAGTAAGGCAGGGGCGTTCCCCAGCTGGTAGAGAGGGGGTTGGGGGTTGTCACAAGTAGTAACAATACTAGTAAGAGCTAATATCTAACTATTGCCCAGTCTGCACCAGGAATTCTGCCAAATGCTCTTCTTCAATACCCTACAGGTACTATTATTATTATTCCCAGTTACCAAGGGGAAACTGAGGCATAGAGCAGTTAAACAACTGTGCCCAAGATCACATAGCCAATGGGAGTAGTGATCCTGCGATTTGAACCAGACTTTTACTCCAGGGTTCACACCTTCAGCAACTATGCCACCCAGCCTCTACCCCAAATGTTGTCCTGAATTCTCTCTTCCCACCCCGCCCCCACCAGAATCCACAGTATGAATTTAAAGAGGCTGCAGGGAATTTTACACCTGGCCTGGCGCAACCAGGAGCCTATTATCCCTATGAGCCGACTCTGGGGCCATACCAGTATGACGGGTAAGGCACGGGGTGCATTTGTAGCTGGCCTTGCAAGTCCTCCCCACTCCCCTGCCACAAGGCCCATCTGGGAAGAGCCTGGGAAGTGTTGGTGGGGGCGGTGCATGAGGAGGGAGGAGCGCTGAATCTCATTTCCAGGCCTCAGACTGTCTCCTGCCTGCAGCCCCAGGTTCTCAGACCCAGAACTGTGAGCCAGGTTCTCCCCCCAGGTATGGAGCAGTGGAGTTGAGTGGCACGGGCCGCCGGAAGAACGCCACCCGGGAGACCACGAGCACGCTCAAGGCCTGGCTCAACGAGCACCGCAAGAACCCCTACCCCACCAAGGGCGAGAAGATCATGCTGGCCATCATCACCAAGATGACCCTCACCCAGGTGTCCACCTGGTTCGCCAACGCGCGCCGGCGCCTCAAGAAGGAGAACAAGATGACGTGGGCGCCCAAGAACAAAGGCAGCGAGGAGAGGAGGACTGAGGGTGGAACAGAGGAGTCCCTGGGCTGCCTGAACTGTGACACCAAAGGTACCAGAAACGCTCACCACCACGCCTTAGGGTTTTCCCAGCCATCTATCAGGCCCATTGCACTTTTGCAGCTGCCTGGTGGGACAGCTTTTAGGGTGGTACTCCCTGACTTACCCTTGCACTTGTACCCGCCCCCCACCCCCACCCCAGACTTCTGGGCCTTTGCCTGGGCAGTTCCCTCTGCCTGCAATTCCCTACCTAACTGGCTTCTTCTTGACTGCTGAAGTGTGAGCTGGAAAAAGCCCCTCCTGGCCACCCAGGCTAATTTAGCTCCCCAATTATTCCCTATGACATCGGCCTATTGTATTTCGTTTGCCATACTTACCACTATGGGAAGGTACTTGAGATCTGTCTGCCCCTTTGGAGAACAGCAGCTCCACTAAAAAGTGTCTTACTGCTGTATTCCCTAAGTTCCTAAGACCTAAATGCCTAATGATGTCTGGCACATAGATGACACTCAGTAAATATTTGCTGAATTAAATAATACACACCAGCTACCTGTGGGTGTTGAAAATGGGCGGGGGTGGGGAAGTCCCCTTGGGTGTCTGCTTGATTTATGGGGGAGAATCTGAGATCCAGGTCCTAGGCAGTGAAAAGTGGTGGTTTCCTTCCACTGGAAAGGAGGAGTCTTCCAAGGAGTGGGGGCAGAGCTAGGGCCTCACTTCTTTCCCAGGGGCAAGCTGGAGCCCTGGGGCAACTGTAAGAGAGGGTTGGGCCAGCCTGGTGCATAACGCCAAGAATGCCCTAAGTGCAGAGCCATCTTGCTAAAAGCTTCTCAGGGATGGGCACTCCCGCGGATTTCCCTTGGGGCCTGGGGCTTTTCTCACTCGCTCCTGATCTCCTGCAGATGAAACTGCCAGCCAGGAGGCTCGAGGGCTCCGGCTGAGTGACCTGGAAGACCTGGAGGAAGAGGAGGAGGAGGAGGCCGAAGAAAAGGAGGCAGTGGCCACAGCTGCGGACAGGCTGGCTGAGTTCCATAAAGACTCGCAGTCGCTGCCCGCGTCCTGCGGCGCCGCTCGGGAGGCCCGGCTGCAGCGGCGGGAGTGCGGCCTGGCGGCGCGCCCCTTCTCGTTCCCGGAGCCCCCGGGGTCGGGAGAAGCTGACTTCCTGCGGGCGGAGCCCGGGAGCCCCACGTTGACCATGCACTTCCCCTGCAGCGAGAAACCGCGCATCTGGTCTCTGGCCCACACTGCGGCCGCCGCCGGCGCGGTCGAAGGTGCAGCTCCAACCCTTCCCAGGCCGCGAAGTCCCGAGTGCCGTCTGATTCCGGGACAGCCTGCAGGCGCGGGCGGCCGGCCCGCCATCCCCAGAGACTCCGTATGCGCAGAGTCTTCCCGTGTAGCCAAAGCCTTTGGAAACCGCCCCTTTGCCCCTCAGGGGCTGCCGATGAACTGTGCGCAGTGCCCGCGGCGGAGGGAGCCCGCAGTGCACTGCCAGTACCCGTCTGGAGCAGAAGGTAGTGGGTCCCCAACGGCGCTGGGGTGTGTCAGTCCCAGCCAGCGCACCGCCTCTCTGCCTCTCCCGCATGCTGATGTTCAGACCCGGAGCGGGATTGTCCCACAGCTCTCCTTGAAACAGCAGCTTAGGACTAAAAGTACCGGGCCCCCCTCCTTCTAAAACCAAATAATAGTAAGAAGCTCAGGGTGAGACGGTAACTTACCTAGGATCACTTAGAAAGTCATGGAGAAGATGGGCAACCTAGCTCTCTGCCCTGGTGTCCCTCGTTCTGCCAAATGGGCCAGGTGGGCACCATCATGACCTTCTGGCTCAGACACCCTTGTCCCCTGCCTGTCCTTCGGAGGAGGCCAGCTGGCCCTTGCCCTTCTTCTACCAAGAGTTTTGCTAGGGCTGGGCAGGAACCAGGGCTTTCTAAGAAGTCTGGGGGGTCGGGCCAGAGACAGCAATTGGTTTAAGGCCAGTGCTGAAGTCCAGCGGGCAGCCCTGCCCGAGGCCCCCTAAGCCCCCTGGAGAGTGTAGCCCAGGCTTGGTGCTGTCCCTGGAGAGCACTCATCCCCCAGAGCTCACCCCCTGCAGGGGGTGACTGCCAATCAGTGTCTCCGGCCCCTGGCTGTGCCTGGTGGAAGGGAATTGCACCCCACAAAGGGACATCCCCCAAGCATCAGGCAGCCTCCAGCAATTACTGTCAGATTCTGCTCTTTGTAGTAATTTCTCTCAGGAGTAGCTACTGACTGAGAAAACTGGGTTACGCAGTTTTTGAATTTACACATAACGGGGTCCAAAAGTTCCTTCTGGCAAGCAAATTGCCTCTAGACCTTGGATTCCCTTCGGATGAGACACCAGCGACCTCCGATTTCCTAGAAATCGCCACCAAGCGGCCCTTCGGGTTTTAATCAACCTTTCCTCTCTCAGCAGGTTAGCGCAAATGGCTGCGATTTGCGGAAGGATCTTGGAAAGAAGGCCTACTTTTCGAACTCACTTCCATGCTCAGAAGCTGGGAGACCTGGCCAGGGCCTTGGGGAGGGGGGGGGCTCTCACTTCACCTAAGAGACAGACAAAACACACAGAAACCCTTCTACCGGCTCTTCTTGCACGCAGAGCTGGGAGTGGCAGGCGGACGTGCAACGCTCCAGACCCGCTGGGAGGCGGTGGCGCCCAGGACACCTTGGGGAAGGCCAAGTGGGAAGGCTGGGCGAGTCTGCCCTGTGCACCCTCTCGGTACACCAAGTCTCCCTCCCTCCTCTAGATACAGGGTCTGAAGCAACTCCTTCTCCTGCTCACCCCCACCCTGCCCCCTTTCACTGTGTAATTTCAGCGCTGACTTGGCCCCTAAGGACCACCTGGGTCTTCTCCTCCTCCCCATTCCTTGTGTCCTCAAAAATAATCAAACCAAACCCCACCTGTGTGGCGTGTCTGTGCCAGGGGCGCTGGGAGAGGCCAGGGTGGAGGGGAGGATGGAATGCGGCCAGGGATTCCGGGGACTGGGAGGCGTGAGCTGCAAACCTCAGTCTCTTTCAGGGCAGGGAGAGGAACTGGCGAGGTTACGGTCAAGGCCGCGGCGCCTAGCGCGCAGCGCCTCTGAAGCTGCCTTGTACCTAACTCGCCCAGCGGGGAGACGCCTGGCGGATTCGTGGGCGTTGGAGGAGGGGAACGCAAACTGGGAGGTCGGAGGTGGGGGAGCAGTCGGGTTATTTGGAAACTGTATGTTTCCGGGCTCCTACCTGGGTTTTAGTTTACTGGGAGGAGGGGCGATGGGGATCATTCGGGCGGACCCTTGGCACCCAGCTGGGATCCCCGCGCTCCTCCCGTCGGACCAAATGGCAAAGGGTGACAGCTTGCTGGGTCCCCGGGAGACAAGAGGGAGCATTCTTTCCATCTAATCAAGTGTCAGCAATCACTTCCGGTACAGGCCAACCAATGGGAACTGAAGGGCTGGGAAGGGGCGTCGGTGCCCCGCGGCAAGCAGCATCTGGAGCCGGGCTTGGGGGAGGAGGGTTGGGAAGCCGCCCGCGCGCGGCGCGAGTTCGCGTCCCCGGCCTGGTGGCCTCGGGCTTGAGCCAGCGAGGAACCTGGCTGCTGCTCGTGGGGAGAGAGGGAGGTGAACCCGGGATGGGGCTCTAGAGGGGAGCTGCGGGGAGCTGATGCGGGCTTGGACAGCCGGGGTGTGCGCCCGCCGACCGGATCCTGGGGGAGCTGCGTCTCCACCGCTGGGCTCCAGCCTGGGCCACCCAGGCCAGGTGACGGCTTCCAAACCAGGGCCTGGCAGTGACGTCTGGGGCAGGAAGGGCCCGAGTCTTCGCCTCCTCGGAAGAGATTGTAAGACCCCCTTGGAGGCTGCGGAGAAAGAGCAGTTGGAAAAACAGTGGGGAACAGGTGGCAAGCCACCTCCCAGCCCCATGCTGTCTTCTTTTTTAATAGAATGATGGGGGTCGGCAGGGGCTTTAGAGATCACGAATTACAAAATACAAACCTCTTCCTCAGATGAGCAAACTGAGACCAAACGGAAGGGCAGGGGACTGGCTCAAGGTCACACTGGGATCCGTGGTGGAGAGGGACCCCAGCTCCGGTTCATGCTCCTTTCCTTCGCTTCCCCTGGGTGATCCCTTCCCTGCTTTCCTCTTTGCTTCTGGGCAACAGCTGCTCCTACCCCCCAACTCCCCGGGGACCTCCAGTCGCCCTCACTGACCCGCGGCTTAGGGTCCGGGAAATTAAACTGCGAAAAGATAAACATTATTTCCAGTCGGCTTTGCGGGATTAACGCTTGTAATAAAGAGCATTAGCTGGAGGTTTCTTTCAAGGCGCTCTCGACCCCACCCCCTCCTGGGGAGCCAGGTAGACCCCTCCTGAGGCTGTGGAGTCCGCAGAAGCGCTTTCAGAGAGCCCCCGGCTGGGAGTGGGGCTCCAGCTAGCCATTTTGTGGAAGGGAGAGGGACCCTTAACACCACACTGCGTCAGCATCTGGAGACAGACACTGAAGGCCAGAGAGCAGAGATGCACCTAAGCCCCAGGTCATGTGGCTGATCCTGGTGGACAAGAGAGCTTTGACCTGTACTCTGTGACCAGCCGTCCAGCCTTTTAGAGAACAGTGAGTCCTGGGAAAGGAGGCCCGCTTGGATCTGCCTGCCTCCCCACCCAGGACCTCAGGAAGTCGTCTTCCCAGCCCCTGTCTATGAGGCCTACCTGCTCCCCACCTCTCCCAACCCCGAGCAGGAGGCTGCAGCCCAGGGTTGTCCCAGGATCTAGGCCTAGAGCCTGGCGGCAGACAGTGGGTATAAGAAGGGCAGAAAAGAGTGGCTGGAATCTCAGAAAAGATCTGGAGCATCTCAGTGCCATGGCTACTTTGCTGTGGCTGTGGACACGCCCTTTCCCCTCTCAGTTTCCCCAGCTGTAAGATACCAAGAGGAGCTGGTGCTCCATCCTGGTGCGGTGTCTGCTCCAGCACTGGTGGGGAGCTCCAGGAATAAGGGTGAAGGCCTGAGAAAGGTACGTCTGAGCCTGCGATTATCCCAGCCTCGGGCCCCCAGTGGCAATCTGTTCCCACCATCTCTGCCCCCACTGACAGCCTCCTGCAAATCTCCCAATATAATCTCCCAGAATCATATTTTGAATACTGTTTTGATTAAACACCAGAGCAGGGGGAGGGAGGACACAGCCCCCTCTCCCCGGCTGAGCCTGCTGGTGCCCACGGACACCTGGCATGTGAGCTCTGCAAAGGGGGGATCAGGAAACAAAGAAAGATGACATTCCCCGGTTCGAACAGTCTCAAGGAGCTGGCCCTCCAAACTTCCTTGATGGCCACAGTGCCCCATCCCTCGGCTGGGGAGCACCCCAGGAGGACGTTAGGTTGAGAGGAGAGGCTGAACCAAGGGAGTCTTCTTCCTTTATTGATCCCTCTCCACTGGGAGTCACTTACATGGCCACCAGGCTCACTCAATAATCTCTATGATCACTTTTGGTTCTAAGATCCTCTGACCTTGCTAATGATAATAAGAGCATCTGGATCCCTTACCCTGTGTCAGACTCAGTGCCATGTCCTTTGAACGCTCTCACTCATTTATATGTCACAACAGTGCTGGAGAGCATTATATTATACTTCTGGATATGTCCATCCAATGAATGAGGAAAGAAGCTCAAAGAGATGAAGTAACTCCGTGTCAGTTATTCAGCTAATGAAGCAAAGTCAAACTCCGAATAAGACTTATTCTTAACTGCTAAGCTCTACTGCTAATACATTCTATTTTTTTTTTATTATTTTATTTTTTAAAGTAGGCTCCATGCCCCGTGTGGGGCTCGAACTCATGATCCTGAGATCAAGAGTCCCATGCTCTCCCAACTGAGCCCTGCATTCTATTATTTCAAGAGTCTTTATTCCATTATGAATAAGAGCCTATGTTTCTGTGACTCTAAATGTCTTTGAGTCTGTGATCTCATGCCACTGGAACTCCAGGCTGACCTCCTTCCTTCTCGGGAATGCCCGATGGAAAGGAGTCCTGGTGCCTCCTGGGCATACCCCCATATTCTGGCTGAGAGCATCCCTCACGTTTCCCCCTGTCCACATTGCCCTGGGACACACCAGCTCAGTGTTTGGCAAAATGTAGCCCATGGATCTCTAGCAGGAGAATCAGCGCACACCTGAAGAATCACACCGAGAGATCTGCCTTTGTAACAAGCACCCTATGTGGTCTGATGGCTCTCTAACCTGAGTTGCAGTGGCTGAACCTCCAGTGGCCAAGCCTTAAGCTCAGCATGAGGGCTTAAACTACCTGCTGCTGGCCCAAAAGTAAATCACATCCCAATAACAAGTGCAAACATTTCCTCCCGGATTTAATCTATATTCACATTCAATCTCTTCATCTGGTTCAGTTCCCACCCACAGCACCCCCGTCCCCCAGGCTGACACCATCGCAAAGCTCAAGGCTCGTAGTGATTGGAGGGGGAGGAGGCCATTTAGGAGAATAAGTCACCTCTCCCAGCTGTCTGAAGACACTGGGATTTCAGGAAGCATCTAAGAGTCACTTGTACCTCAGCTTGTAAGAGAATTCTGTCCCCAAACATGAACATGTAGTCAAGAATCCCTACATATTTGGGGAAAGCCAACACCAAGGAGGAAAGACTGTATCTTAAGCAAATAAAAGAACTAACAGAGGCGGTAGGCCTCTTGCTGTTTTCTGACATAGCCACTTGCAGCCTTGGCACTAGAAAGTTCTTCCTTTTTTGAACCAGTTTCCTTCCTCACGTAACTTCTGAAATGTGTCTCCTAAACCAACGAGTTTTGCTCTCCTCCATGACCCATTCTTTCTTCTACCTTCTATGCGTCCTCTGCTCTTCTCCCTGTCTGTACCCATCTACCATTTACATGGCAGAGGACCCCTCTATTGGTGTGATTTTCTTCATTCAATGTTAAGTTGGAGATGGGTGAGAAATGGTGACCTGAGTCCTTGGACAAGTGACCAAATGTCTCTGAGACTCAGCCTTCTCCTGGTAAGTTGGGATCATCATAAACCATGTGGCTCCTTCATGGTTTCTCTTTTACTCCCTCAGCACCCCCACACTCTCTTTACTTCTGACACTTCTGGTCACCAGTTGTATGTGAGGTTTCTCCACACCAAGCAATATTCTGTGACACCAGCTGGGTGTCCCACAGTTTAACTCAATTCTGACCCTGTCCATCTACCTCAAGATAGCGTCAGGTGCTACAGGTTAAGGGCTCAGTCCCACAAGACCGCCCTCATTTCAGATGCCAGTCACAAGTAGTAGGTCCCCAGAGTTACCCACAACATCTGACGACTAACCTACAAATCGGAGGTTCCCACAAACCCATCCTCAGGTTCAGCTGATCTGCTAGACCAGCTCACAGAACTCATAGAAACACTTATGTTTACCAGTTTATTAAAGGATATGACAAAGAAGACAGATGAACAGCCAGATGAAAAGGTAATGAGGTGAGAGCTGGGAGGGTCCAGAGCACAGGAGCTTCTGTCTCCATGGTGGTAGGGCGTGTCACCCTACCTGTATCCAAATGTGTTCACCTGCCCAGAAGCTCTCCAAACCTCATACTTTGGGGCTGTTAATGGAAGCTTCATCACATTGGCATGATAGATAATTACCACCAATTTTAGCCCCTCTCCGGTCTCTGGAGATTGGGAGGTATGGCTGAAAATTCCAAGCTTCTAATTATGACCAGTCCCCATCCAGGAGCCCACCAAGAATCACCTCATTAGAATAAAAGACCCAGGAAATTCCAAGGAATTTAAGAATTCTGTGTCAGGAACTGAGGTCAAAGACTAAATATTAAAACAAAAGCTATTCCTAGTGTTCTTATCACTTAGGAAATTGCATGGGTTTTAAGAGCTCTGTGCCAGGAACCAGGGGCAGATATATATATATGTGTGTGTGTGTGTGTGTGTGTGTGTGTAGATATAGATAGATAGTTAGATAGCCTATTATACATATATATATATATATATATATATATATATATATATATATAATCTGTTATCTTTGTGTAATCAGAGGATTGAAAGAAAGTTGAAAAGCGGATAGTTTGGGTCCCTCTGAGATCCAGTGTTATTTAATGCTGTGACCAGCATTGATGGTACCCTGGTGGTTTACATTCTACTCTTTGGGGAATTAATCTGTGTTCATGTAAAGGGTGACTATTACTTAGGAGATCTCAGAGACTGATGTCTTCCCTCGCTGCCTGGGACTGTCCCCAAATTCCAACTTAGCTTTATTTAAAGTCTTAGAGAACCTGCCCTAGAACGATGATGCCAACAATGATAATGATGAGTCCAGAGCAATAGTTCTCAACCTTGGTAGTTCATAAAATAAGCCAGAGAGGTCTTCTCTTTTGTTTCATATTTTCATACCAATACCTGGACTATACCCCCAGGTCAATAAAATCCAAAACAACAGCAGTCATTGATTTTGCTGGTGGATCTGTCTCTTGGGCAGGGTTCAGTGAGAATGGTTTGCTTCTGATCCATGCGGTATTAGAAGAGGCAGCTCGACCGGAGCTCCAAGGAGGACCTGGGGCTCCACCTCCGCGGAGGTTTCTATGGTCTCTAAGGGCTACTTGAGGGGCCTCACATCATGGCAGCGAGGCTCCAGGAGCAAGTATTCCAAAAGGTCTAGGTGGAAGTCTCAAGGTCTCTTATGACCTATCCTCGGAAGTCCCAGAGGTCCCTTCCACTGTATTCTATTGGTCAAGCAAGTCACTGAAGCTTGTTCAGAGTCAGGAGGAGGGGAAATTAACTCTACCACTCAACCGAAAGGGTAGCAAAGAACTTACAGCCACCTTTACCGGAATTGGAATCCTCAGCGAAGGTACAGTTTTAAATGCACTTTCAGACTTTACTCTCCCACCCAATGTGAGCACCTGGGGTTCTGTCTTCGTCAGCTTGGGCTGCCATAACAAAATACCATAGACCAGATTCCTTAAATATCGGACATTTATTTTTCACAGTTCTGGAGGCTGGAAAGTCCAAGATCAAGGTCTGGCTGATTCAGTTCTGGTGAGAGCTCTCTTCCTGGCATGCAGATAGCTCTGCTTTCTTACTGGGGCCGAGGATGTCATTATGTGAGTTCTGGAGGGAACGAACATTTAGTCCATAACAGAATCTAAGGCAGAAACCAAGATGGACAAGCCAGTTAGGAATCAGGTGACTGGGAGGAGGCTGCTCGCTCTCTGGTCAACAGTCTGGGCTGTCCCCTGGCCACTGAGGTTCTGGCTGAGGCAGGCATCCTGCTGTCCATCCACACCCCCCATCCACGTCTTGACCTGGCAATGAGCACTGGTAGCCTTGATGGCGAAGAAAAGGGCAATGCCATATGTATTCAAAGCATTGTTACATGCCTGACACTCCATATAATTGCATAACAACTCTTCACTCCATAAATGAAGACTAAGTCTTAAGTAAGCCAAGTCCCTCGTTCAAGGCCTGATACGGAGGAAGTGGCAGAATTGTGTTCGAATCTAGGTCTGGGTGACCTCAAAGTCCATGCTCTCCCCCAAGCTCTCAGGGGCTGAGAGCATCTCATCTAAGATCATAGTGTATTAGCAAAGTGGTAAGAGCACAGTCTGAAACCAGACTGCCCGGGTTCGAATCCCAGCTCTGCCATTTACTAGCTGTGTCAGATAAGCAGGTGATCACCTGCCTGGCTCTCGGTTCCCCCAATGCTAAAATGGGAGTGAGAACAGTGGCCGCCTCACCGGACGGTGATGAGGATTAAGTAGTTGCCAG